GCCATGTCCGTGGCCTCCGCGAGCCCGGAGAGGATCCAAGCTCCGCAGAGCCCGCTCATGGAGCCCTCGCCGTCTAGGCTCTCCACCGCCGGACCGGCCTCCGAAGCTGAAGGCTCGTCCTCGCCGGTTCTCTCATACTCCGCCGACACACCCGATCGCAGCGAGCATTGCAATTCTTCTCCCACCGTCGATCCTCAGGTCCTCTTCTCGCATTTAACGCACTTAGCTTATGTACTTGTGTTGTGCTACAGTTCTGGAATGTTCGTGATTTTGGTCTCCCAATTTGGCAGTACAGGCTTTCAAAATCTAACTTTAAATTCTTGTTTCTTTATTAGTTAGTTTTTACATGCCAATTTAGGAAGAAGAAATGAATGAATTTGCTTTATTTGTAAAGAAAATAAGATTTGGTTTGCTGGAGAAATGATTTTTAGTATAAACTGAGGAAACTTGTGAATATTATTTTGATTTATTTTCTTTAATATTACAGTCTGCAGCATCATTGAAGAGTGAAGAGTATCGCCAGTTGTTTCGTCTTCCACCGGATGAAGTGAGTGATCAAGATTTTGGGTTCCATTCAAAGTATTTATTTTTCCCTTTTAATACAAATTTTGCATCTTAACTCTCTCTCTCTCTCTCTCTCTCTATATATATATATATATATATATGCTCAAAAAAATTACTCAACCGTGAAGAAGGAAACTCTAGCCATTGTTCATGCAGTCATGAAATTCGAAAGTGATCTTTTAAATAAAGAATTCCTGATTAGGGTGGACTGTAAGGCCGCCAAAGATATTTTATTTAAAGATGTTAAGAACCTAGCCTCAAATCAAATTTTTGCTAGATGGCAAGGATATATATGGATATCTCCATCTTCATTCTCTCTTTAATTGGTATAGAAGCAGAAACAATGTTACCACAGCCTTATTCTATCGATATATATCAAATAGGAAGGCAATCATTTCTGCCGACCAAAATTTGAGGAAACCTTATGCTTATTTACTGATGCACAACTACTTATAGGTTCAATGCATGACAAAGAGGGCTAGGTTTGATATGGGACAAGTTTATCATTTGAGTATAAACTGATTTGGTGTAGATCTGTGAGCAATAATGACTAGACTATAGCAGAAAATTAAAAAGAAAAATAATATCTTTGAGGCTATTCTAGGATAAGAAAGGTTGGACCTATGATTAGTAAGAAAAAGATTAGTATTTGATTGTATTTAGATGCAGGAAGTTTGCTAGAGCTGAACGTAATAGCTTACTGATGTATTGGAAGAATAGTAGTAGATAAAAAGACAAAGAATAACAAAGGAGTAACTAGGAACTACACCTAGAGTACTTGAGCATCACACAGAGAAGGACGCATCAAAATCTAACATAGTTACTCGCATTTCAATCTCTCTTCCTTTAAACATTGCAGTAAATATACTATGTCATATATATATATAATTATAAATAACATATTTCTTGACTTGAAAATCACAGTAAGTACCCCGGAATTTGTGAGTAGGCTCTACCTGATTTTAAAAGCACTAAGATCCTTTGTCACTAAGTATCAACTAGATATACACTGTATTCCCACCCTTTTGGGTCGGTTCTTATTGATTTTCAATTCTTTAGTTTTCCTTGTTAACTTGCTTTTCGAATTCTGTATCACTAAGACAATCCTAATTTAAACTTTTAATTCTGTCTTACTGTCGTCAGAGTTGTTAGCATAATATTTATTGTATGTTTAGCTACTTAGAAAGTGATGTGTTTTCCAACCACTAACCCACTTTTGGCATTGAAACATCCACCACATTTCTGAACAATGTTAAAAAGTCAAGAGTCTGTTCACTTTCACAAATGCATTGGTGGAGAAATCAGATGCAGAGTTGAGCAGCATCGTCAGTTTTGGACAAAATTACCTGTTAAATTTGGCTTTAGGAGCCTTCTGTAAAAAAAAAAAAAGAGTTAATATATGTCAAAATGATTGTTGAGCTTACACTCCCCAGGTGACTTCATTCTACTGAATGTTACAAATATATGAACACGATCGGATAATTCTGATGTATCCTGTTTCTTGATGTTGATGACTAACACCATAGAGCATGAGTGGAAATCCACTTTTCCAGTAACCTATAATGTGAATAGTTAGCTTGGGAGTAGCGTTTGGGCTGTAAGACATTGCAAGGAATGATAGGAGTTAAGACGCCTGGTTGTCCCTGGATATCTTCACTTTATAGTAAAGTTGTAAAGTTGTAATTGAAGGGACTACCAAAGCTTATTCTATCTTTTACTTCTCAGAAAAGAAAGCTTGATTGTGGCCTGCAAGAATACACAGATTATAGGCTTCTTGGATGACATTTAGTCCATCTGTATATTGAAGTGTACTCTGTTCAATGGAACACTTCTGGCATATATTATATGTACGATGCACAGAGGGACTTGCCATTACATATTAATTCATAGTAGTATAGTTGTAAAGATTTCAATGTGATGATGAGTAGAGCAAGATTTGCTTCTCTCTCTCTCTCTCTCACACACACACACACACACACACACACATGCACAGTCCCTCACTCACATACATGTATGCACAGAGTTGAATATAACTTCTACGTTATTTGAGTATATTGAGTATATCTTTTGACATTTTCATTTTTTCCTTTTCACTGTAGGCCCTCATTGAAGATTTCAACTGTGCATTCCAGGAGAACATACTTATTCAGGTTCAGGTTCATTTGATATGTTTTATAGGTTATTATTTTGAATATTAAGTTTTATGTCAGGAGTTGCAGTATCTATCTTATAGTTAAACCGTTGTACTGCTTCTCATTGTTTGGCTGGTTATGTTTTACCATATTATATTTTGGCTAAAATTTTACTTTTATATATTCTTTTTAGCATCTTGATCGAATGGCAATCTTTAATGAATAAAGTTCTGCTTGGTGTTGCTAACTTTAATTTTATGTATTTTGTAGGGTCACATGTACCTGTTTATTCATTATATTTGCTTTTACTCAAATATATTTGGATATGAGACAAAGGTATGGTGTTCAACTTGTCCTAAACTTCTATTTTAATGAATATTACAATTGTTGCGAACTGAGTGCTATATGTCATGTATTCCTTTGTTTCATTTTCATAGGACATTAGGCAGACACGGTTCTTTTTCCAATTTTGTTCCTAGGACATTTGTTGAGTGGTTTGTAGTCAGGAAGAACCTGAAAAGGGTGGTTATGCATAGAAATGAATGCAACTGTTTCCCATGGATCCAATTGGTTCCATAAATTATTTCAGGAGACTTAAAACTGATTCACTTTCCGTGTAACATTATGTTTTCAATTTTGCTTTATACTAAAAAAATAGATTATGTACTAAAAGTAAATTCCACTTCAGAAAATAATCCCATTACAAGAAGTCACAAGCGTAAAAAGAGCGAAGACAGCAGGGATCTTCCCTAATGCCATAGAAATTTTTGTCGGAGCCAAGAAGGTAGTGCCAAATCTGATGTTTGTATTCCATCTTTTTACTTTGTACTGGTGATATCTTGTAAACACCTTGCGTTCAATGCCATTTCAGTATCACCAGTGTCTTACACCACTTATTGATTTGGCAGTACTTCTTTGCATCCTTTCTGTCCCGTGACGAAGCTTTTAGGATCATAAATGATGGATGGGCAGAATATGTGGATGGTTCCAAAGCGAATACAGAACAGCAGGTGTCGTAAATTTAATTGTATTACTTAGTGGTGATAAATTTGGTTCTGTTTAAATGTATTAATTCATTGATAACTTCTGCTTTTA